TCGGCCGCTGCTCTTCCCTGGCCGTCCTGCGCCCAAGGGCAGGAGGAGGGGGAGGAGGACGCAGGCCCCTGGCGGCTCGGGTAATAGGCGGCAGGAGACTGTTCGGCGTCCACGGGCCTTTTCCGGGTCCAGGGACCTTGGACGATTCAACGGTCCCAGGTAATGGAGCGAGATATTTGGTGTTTTCCTCGTGTGTTATGTGTATGAACGTCGTTGTTCTCTTTGGCCTTCGTGCCTCAATTCGTTCCGGGTGCATCCCACCGCTCGCTTGACCGGCGTCTGACTGTCCATTTGGTGCCCGCGGACTTAAACATATGAACGTCTACCCGTTCCTCATACGTCGGTCCTTCGAGGAAGAAAAACGACACAAACATAAACTTTTTGCCGTCAGCGCGGATTTCTTGCGGCGCCTCCGGCGCCGCCCCTGGCGCGCTCCGCGCGCCAGGGAGCACGGAGGGGGGTCTAGCTCAGATCCAAGAAATCCGCGCGGACCGTCGAATGTTTATGTTTATGTCGTTGTGTCTCCTTCTAGTCCTGTGGTTTCTCCGATGCGTACGGATCCTGAGTCATCGACGTAATTCGTTTTATAGATTTGGCGATGTGGCTTCTTTTTCTGTGGGGCCCGGAGGCTGAGGCGGATCTTTTGAGGCCTAGTGCGTGAAGCCTAGGAAAGCTTATCGCCCTGGTGTTAAGTCGGGCAAGTCCCTCTACAGGACGAATATTCACGAATAGTTACAAACAAGTCTGGCCACGATGTTTCGGTTATTTTCATGTTATGCTTGAAGATGGTTTGACTGTTTCGCATTTGTCTTCCAAGATCCGACTGTAGGAGGAGATGCCCGACGGAACCCTAGTGGTTACGGCACGCAGGAGGTCTTGGTCTTGCCCTCGCCCATGCTCTTTGTGGGCGTACGATGCCATCGATGCGTCGGCATTCGGGATGAGACCGGCTGGCCAGTGGCACGTCGGTGCGTGAGTGGCGGCATCGTTTGCACAGGCGTGCCGGGGGTGGACAGAACCCCCAACAGTGACACGTCGATTAGTGAATTGTCCTTTTTCGGTTCTCGAGAGGGCGCCGTGGCCGCTCTTTTCCAGGCTTGCGCCCGCCAGGTTTGGGCCTCAGGTCGTTTTCACTAAACCACGTTTTACTAAAGGGGGGTCTGTCCATCCTCGAGCGTGCCGCACAACTCCAAGTGCTGCTTTTCAAGAGTGTGGTCAGGAGCATGGCGATCTTCACGCTGCTGCCCTCGAAGAGGAGGGAGACGTGCTCGGGTCACGGGCCGCTGGTTTGACGGAGCCCCCGGGGTCCCGAGCCTCAAGTCGGGCCCGTCCCTCTACAGGAGGAATCTTCAAAATTAAACGAAAAATAGTCTGGCGTATCATTGTTTCAGTAGTTTTTGACCATTTGGGGGTATTGTTTGGTTATCTCCTAAACTTATTTGTCGTCCCAAATCCCCCCCCCCCTGTAGGAGGACAGGCCCGACTTAGCCCAACCCCCCCCCCCCCGAATAGCCGACTTCTCCGAGTCGGCGGCCCTCGCGCCGCTGCTTCGGCGCAGACTTCCTCCCCCGAGCTGATCCCGATGGCCCCTCGGGGAACGGAGCGCGGCGCAGCCAGACGCTCTCGGAGCGCCCTCGGAGACTGGAACATGTACGCTGCCAGTGGCGGGCTCTCTTTCAGTCCCAGGGCTTTTTGAGGGTCGGGGGACGACGTCGGGGTGGTGTGGTGTGTACTCGTTCCCCGTTTTCCCAGGGAGACAGCGGCAGAGGTATACACCAGGCCCCCAAGCAACACCAGGATCCGCTTTCTTGTGAGCGTTTCAGAGCAGGGCCCGAACAAGCGTTGGTGTATTGGAGTTCGGTTCCCCACACGCTGCGCGGAGTTCCTGATTTTCTTCTGTCCGTCCTGCGCTGGCCTGTTCCTCGAGCCCTCGGGGGCTATAGACTCCGCCGCCCCGCACGTCTCTCGGACGATCTGCTCCAGGCGACGGAGGTGCCACGGCCCCGTAGTTTCAGGCCGACCACTGCACGTGCCAGCGCTGGGCTGTCGTCGTCGCTGGGTGGGGGGGTGGGGGGGAGGGGGCAGGGCTCGTTTCGCTTCCTCCGATTCGATTCGATTTCGATGGCTTCCGATTCCGATTCGATTCGACTTCGGATTCCGATTTGGGCTCCGATTTCTCAATGGAGGCGTACCAGCCTGCCGACTTCCACCGATTCGACTTTTCCCGACTCGGCTGCCGACTTCTTCCGATCCGACTTATGTCGATTGCCGATCCGACTTATAGATTCGATTCTGGGCTCTCCTGAGGGGGGGGGCTCTGGGGGGGGGAGAAGCACGATGAGGGAAAGGAGGGGGCGGGAAGGGAGGAGGGAGGAGGAGGGTGAGGAGGGACGTCGGAGGAGCGGGCGCAGGAGAGGGGAGGGAAGAGGATTTCCCCACTCCGCGCCTGCACTGAAGGGGGTCCTAGAGCGGAGGTCGAAGGATTTTTGGCGAACGTTTCCCGCCGATGTTGGTCGCACGCCGGGTTCCCCGGGTGCCCGGTTCCCGGGCTCCCGAGCTCCCGGGCTCCCGGGCCGACTCTTCGGTGGGCGGCGGGGCTCCCAGGTTCCCGGGTGCCCGGTCGCTCTTCTCATCGGTGGGTCTCACAGCATCGCTATCATCTCCCACCTCTCTACAGTAGGGGTCTTGAAGAAGGAACCCTTTTCGTTGGGGAGGGGCTCGGCGTTCCTTGATTGCTTTACAGTTCGCCTTGGGTTTTCCCTAGGGTTTCCATGAACATCGAAGTTTATCTCATGGGAAAAAGGGGCCTCGTTCCTTATTTAGGGTTCCTTAGGTCAACGCCCCGATTGTATATCGATCTCACCATCGATCTCACCATCGATCCCACGATCGATCTCGCGAGCGATCTCACTGGGGATCGCACGAGTGACCTCGCGATCGATCTCCCTGTCGATCTCATCGAATCGATGCCACTCTCGGTCTCACGATCGACCTTACAATCGTCCTCTATCGATTACACAATCGATCTCACAATCGATCTCAAGATCCATATGACTAGTTTTCAAATCATCCACTGATTGGGGTTTTCTCAGGTGTAAGTTTGTTCTGGGCAGCCGGGGCAGCATTAGGGCGGGGAGGAAGAATGAGGTAGCAGCAGCAGGGGGAGCGGGAGACGCGAGTAGTGAAGGGAGAGGGAAGAGTAGAACGAGGAGGAGTTGCAGTATAGGCAGGGCAGGTGATAACAACACCAAGATGAACACGAGGATGGAGGACTTTTTTCAATCTCCCATCTTCAATGGTCCTTCTGTGCTTGTCCTCCTGTTCCCTCTCCTCCCCTTCCCTCTTCCTGCCCCTTATCGTCCTCCTCTTAGTCCTCATGGGAGTCCCCAGGAAGCGTGGAAGTGGATTTGGAAGGAAGAGGAGGGGAGTAAGAAGGCAGGGGGGGAAGGGGAATGGGCATGGGGCAGGGGCAGGAGGAGGAGGCAGAGACGGCGGAGGGAGGGTGGCGCTGGAGAGAAAGAAGCAGGGAGGAGTAGGAGCAGGAGAAGGCGGGGGAGGGGAGAGAGAGGATGTGGAGTAGCCATTCCGGCTCAGGGCTCGAGGCCCAGGAGGGGGCCGATGCCATCTAGAGGCATCGGGACCGCGGTGTCCGTGGTGTTCTCGCTGGCGTGTGTTTGGTCTACTTGGAGAGGCAGCGGACTTGGTGGGCACGACGTCGAAACCTGGTGCTTCCGCAACAGTCACAGCATCAATGGGCCATACGTCACCCTGCGTGCGCTGGGCTGGGCGGGCACGTACATGATCACTGGCACCGACATCGCCGGAGACGACGTCCGCTGCGCCACGTGGGCCACTGGCACGAGGCCCTACACCTCCGACGCCGTGGTTTTCTCAAACCCGTGGGTCTCCGGAGTTCTCGACCCCCTGCCTTGGGGCCCGCGTTTCTTCCCAGGGCAGTTTCCTAGCAGCGTTTCGCTACGAGTGCTTCCCTCGAGGGCCCCGGAGTACAGCTGGGTAGGCTCAGTCCATGTGTAGCAGAGTGGACCGAGAGGGGTTCCAAGAGGGGCTGCAGCGCCTGTAACAAAAAGGCCAAGGTTAAGTCGGCCATGCCCATTTACAGGAGGAAAATTCAATACTAGTTCTTAACAAAAAATCTTGGGACGATTTCTCTAGTGTTTTTTGTTTTGCAATTTTCCCGTCCAAAATCCGCCCGTAGGAGGACACGCTCGACTTCAGTTCAGCGCCGGCCACACGACTGGTCCAGACGGCCACGGTGCCCTGTAAGAAATGCACGGGCGTGCTCTCACCCCTGCCGCCAAATGCCGACGCCTCCTGCGCCTCAGGGCCCGCCTCCTCGCCTCTGCTGCTGCTGCGGTGCTCTGGCATGGTAACGTTTGTCCGGTTGACGGCCTCGGGGCCCCGAGAGTTGTGGGAGGACGCCCGCCGAGGAAAGAACACGCGCACCCCCCTTGGTCTCCGGAGGCTCTCGAGCCCCCTCTCCAGGGGGTGGGGGCCTCATCGTCTAGAGGACTCCTAGGTGGGGTCAGAGCAGACTCGAAGAACAAAAGCAGCATGAGCATAAACTTTTGGCGCTCCGCGCGGATTTTTCTTGGATCCGCGCTTGGACCCCCTTGGCGGCATCTCCGGCGCCGGAACGCGCCAGGGAGGGGGGTCCAGCGCAGATCCGAGAAATCCGCGCGGTCCTCCAAAAGTGTTTGTTTGTGCCGCTCTTGTCCCTCTATCAGGGGGGGGCCTCATTATCTATGCCTCCTAGATGGGGTCAGAGCAGACGGGGTCGGAGGATCGCGGCGCATCGCCGATGCATCGGTGATGCGGTGCGATGTGGATCTCGACTTTCTCACGCCGATGGCGCCAATGCATCGCTGACGTCGCCGATGCATCGCCGATACATCGGCGATGGATGTATCGTCGATGCATCGGCGTTGCCGATGTATCGGCGGTGCGGCTGGATCCCCCGACCCCATCTACTCTGACCCCATCTGGGAGGCCTCCGACGTTGCCGTCTGGGATTCATCGAGGGATGGCCCCAGTGCCAGGAAGCAATCCCCCATTCGAAGAAGAAACAATGTCGTTGTTTTCTTATTCATCGTTTTGTCGATCGGCGCGGGCCCTCTCACCCCCTGTCACCCCTCCCAAAGATCCAACGTATTGAAACAATCAAGACGGAGGTTGTTCGCAAATCTCGGCCCCTAGGGGCTCTCGCCAGGCCTCTGGACTGTCAAAAAACGATTCCGGATGAAAAACCGGTCCTGGGGAATGGGTCGAGATTTCCGGGGACCGCGTATTGAAAAAATCACGACGTCGGATCTTTGGGCTCCGGCTCATGGAGTAAATCTTGGCTGTTTTTGGCGCCGGTCTCAAGCAGGTGGAGTCGCCCCCCTGGGACGCACTGTTGCAGACTGTCGTAGGGAGCAGAGGTCCGGAGCCAGACCGCCAAACAAGAAAGCGTTCCCAATTGCATGCACTTTTTTTCGGAGCTCCGCGCGGATCTGTTGGATCGGCTTTGAACCCCCCTCCCGCCCTGGCGCAAGGGAGCGCGCCAGGTGCGGCACGGGAGGCGCCGCCAGGGGGATGCAGCGCCGATCCGAGAAGCCCGTGCGGGGCTCCACAAGCCGATGATCATGCAGATGGTTCTCCTTCTACACCTTAGGCGATGCTTAAGAAAACTTGAATTTTCGGCCAGAGTCTCGATGATTCTTAACGTTTCAATGTAAATCCTAAGATTTGAATGGAAATGTAGGGTTTTTATTCAAGTTCTGAGACTATGAATTTCTTAACCCATGATTTCTTAAGCATTTCGCAGGGTGTACCCATGGGCACCGACATTTTCCAGACTGAAGCGTACTCCAGATTTCGTAATCAAGGGAGGGGGGTCTCATTTCGGGGGGGGGTCTCTTCCGGGCTATCTTGGAGGGCCTGGGGGGGTCTGGGGACGATGTTTTGGAGGGTTCTCCCAAGGGGGGGGGTCTAAAACTTCTCGTCTGGGAGGGTTGAGACCCCCTCCCTTTTATTACGAAATCTGGAGTACCCATGGGCACCGACATTTTCCAGACTGAAGCATATGGAGCGTTCCGAAAGAAAAGGCCTTGTCTTCGAGGATCGAAGGAGTTGCCATCTTCTCCGCGGCCAGCGGAAGGCGGTGGAAGCAAAAAAAATCGAGGGCGGTTCCGCCAGCGGAAGCTCGGCGGAGGCTCGGCGGAAGCACACGTCGTGGGCCAGGCCCCGAGGGAGGCTACGTAGCTCAGTTGGTTTCTTTGATGAGGGCCCGCCTTTACACTGGAGGGTGTTTAGGCGGCCGCTCTCGTTGTGCCATCCCCTTAGAGGAGGGGGTGCTCGAGCGCGGGGGCCACAGGTCCCGCGTGCGTGCTCGCTCCTGTGGCCCTCGGCCTCGTCGCTCTGCGCTTACTCGAGGTTGCGCCGTGTTTACGGTTGGTTTTCGGACGGGCCCGACGCTAGACATCCGATCGACTGTTCTAGGGTGTAGCGCTGGTAAAAAAGGAAGCAAAAGTCGACCTTCCAAGAGATGACACCATTCTTGGGTTCAGGTTTCCTGGATCGGCCATATCCTCATGCCCATGATTGGTATCACTTGGTTCCGATGCCGATCTCAGTCATTCCGTCAGCTTCTGAGGGCGCCTTCCTAAGACTGTCGTCGTCTTGGGGCCTGTCAGTTTCGGGGATAGGGTGAAGCTCCAGGCTGATTCGAAAACCTGAGCAACAGCTGCGTTAGAGTCTCGTCGTGTCGACAAGCAGCGACCCCAGCGCGGGCGTTTGAGGTTGAACGCCGCCCATGGCCCAGAATCGGCCCATCGTGGAACGATCCAGCGTGTCTTGAGTGGCCGATCGTTCCAGCTTGAACGATCCTCGCTGTTGCGTCAGGAGCCAACGCCCAGGTCGGAACGACGCGGCCCTGCCGTACGGGACTCGATCGCTCGAACAAAAAAATCAGCACGAAGCCGGACGGCCCCAAGGCCTTGGCATCGCTCGGACGTGTGCATTTTTCCTTCGGCGAGGACCATCGAGGAGCATCCGTGATCATTTGGCGAAAAAAAGCCACGCACGAAACCAACAAAAACAAAACACAGGGAATGGACGTCCGAGCGATGCCCCGAGGCGCAGCACGGGCGAGCTGGAGCTCGCCGGGCCCGCGCTCTGCGTGGCGGCGGTGCCCCCGTCCATGAGGCGCTACTGGAACCGGGCCACGGTGACTGGCAGCCTGTCGGAGACGCCAGCGGCGAGTCACCGCCGGCCCCCTGCCGTGTCGGAAACGCCCGTGCGGCCAGACCTCGGGTAACGTTTTCGGGCTCTGTGCTCCCCCAGCCGTTGTGGAGCTCCTTGGGGGAACAGAGGGCCGTCTTGGAGGTCTGTGGGCCGGCTTGAGGCCATCTTGGGGGCCGTCAAGGGCCCTCCTGGACCATCTTGCGGGTCTCTTGGGGGCCTCTTTGGGGCCTCTTTGGGCCGCCGTGGATCGTCTGAATCCCGAGGAGGCTAGAACGCTACAATCGTTGAAGCACTAGGAGAAAACAGTGAATTGAACATACTGAAGGTCCTCGTAGAGCCCACTTGGAGCGTCTCGAGGGCTTCTTGGGTCGTCTGGAGGGCACCTTCGACCGTCTTTCGGGGCATCTTGGGCCATCTTGAGGGCACCTTGGGACCATCTTTGGCTCTCCTGGGGCCATCGTGGGCGTTCTGGAGGCGTCTTGGGACCGTCTCGGAGGACATCTTGGCCGTCTTGGTGGCCATCTTGGCCGTCCTGGGGAGATGTTGGAGGACTGTTCGGTCTCTTCGGGTGGCTGGCGGGCTGGGCCGAGACCCCACTGGGAACCTTTCAAAAGCCAAAACCATTGAAAGTCCCACGCACGCCGTGCACCCCATGTAGCAAACCAACAGGGGGAAGCGGATCGAAGACGGCTACTGCGAATCACCACCGCCTCCTGCCTCGTTGGAAGCGCCAATGTGACCGAACGTTGCAGCCAGAGCTCGGCCAAGCTATCGGATCCTGTGTTCCTCCAGCCGTGCAAAGCCCGACAGGCGCCTGCACCAGCCTCGTCTCGCTTGCGCTCGCGGGCTTAAGAAGTTCCCCCCAGCCGTTGTGGAAACGCTTCGGGGAACACGTGGGGGAGAAAGAAGAAGAGGAGGAGAGAAATGAAAAAGGAGGATGATAAAGAGGAGGCCTCCTGGAAGCCTGTTGGGGCACTGTTTGAGCCTCCTGGGAGCTTCCTGGGGGCCTCTCGGAGGCCTCTGAGGGGCTTCCTTGGGCATCTTGGGAGCCTTTGGAGGCTCCTTGGGAGGCTCTTTGGTAGTTTGAGGGCGTACCTGGCCTGCCTGACGCGGTCGGAAGCTGTCTTTGGAGCCGTCTTTGAGACCATCTTCGGCGTTTTGGAGGTCTCCTGGGCCATCTTGGAGCCCGCTTGGGGCCGTCTTGGGGCCCTGGATCCATCTTTGCGGCCTCTTGGACGCTCTTTGCCTCTTGGGCCGTGGGAAGGCCCAAAAGGGGCAAACCGCAAACCATTGAAAAACCGAAGGGACATCAATTTGTTGGGCCTCTTTGGCCGTCCTGGATGTCCTCTTGGAGGCATCTTGGACCGCCTTGGAGGCCTCTTGGGGACCTTTTGGGCCGTCTTGAGCCATCTTGAGGAGGCTTTCTTGGGCCGTCTTGGGTGCATCCGTGGCCGTCTTACAGACATCTTGCGGACACCTTGGGCTCTCTTGGGGCCATGCTGGCCGTCTTGGAGGCCATCCGAGCTGCTTTGGAGGCCATCTGTGGGGGAACACCCTTTGCATGCCAACTCTTCCGGGTCCCGGTGCGATCGGTCGAGACCGCACAGGGGTTTCTTGAACGGACGAAAATCTACGGTAGGTTCGTGCGGCGTTGACGCGCTGGCGACGCCAGCGAAGGAGGTAAAGGTTGAATTCTGCGACGCGGAAGCACCGATGGGCACGTCAATGCCATTGGACCCGACTGGATTCAACCTTGAACAATCGGGGCCGCGATCGATTCAAGATTGAACGATCGACGCGGTGTCGAAAACCTTTGCGCGCGCCGTCGCCGCACGAACCTACCGTATCTTACATTTGGCACGCCGTGCACCCATGTGGCAAGGCACAGCGGGCTGCGGATCGAAGACGCCTACGGCGAATCACCGCCGCCCCTTGCCCCTTTGGAAGGGCCTCTGGCCGACAGCGGGAGTCGTCTTGGGGGCCTTTCTGGGCCGACTTGGGGCCTTCTTGGGGCGCTTCGGGGCCGTCTTGGAGGCCATCGTGGGTGTCTTGGAGGCCATTTTGGGCGTGTTGGAGGCCTCTTGGGCCGTCTTGGGGCCCTCTTGGGGCCGTCTTGGAGGCGACCTTGGGCCGTCATGGGGCCCTTGTGGTTGCCTCTTGGGCGATCTTGGGGGCCTCTTGGGCCGTCTTGAGCCGTTGAAATGCCGAGAAGAAGCAACTGCCAAACATCGTCAAAAACCTAAGGACAATCAATGATTTTGGCCTCTTCGGGCCTTCCTGGAGGACCTCTTGGAGGCCTCTTGGGCCGTCTTGGAGGCCTCTTGGGGGCCTCTTGGGCCGCCTTGGGCCATCTTCAGGCTATCTTAGGCCGTCTAGGGTACATCTTGGGCCGTCTTGGAGGCATCTTGGGGCCATCTGAGCCGTCTTGGAGGCCACCTTGGCCGTCTTGGAGGCATCTTGGCCGTCTTGGAGGCCAGGGGCCGTCTGGGGCAGGAAAATCGTTGGCAACCGGGTCTTCCGGGTGGCCCGCGGGACGGGCCGAAGCCCCAGGGGGAGTTCTCTTGGAAAAAGAACCAAAACCAAAAGCCATATCGTCTGGCACGCCAGGCACCCCATTTGATAAATCAAAATCGGGCGGCGGATCGAAGACGCCTTTGGAAGCGCCTATGTGGCCGAAGGTTGTGGCCAGAGGCCTGCCAAGCTATCGGACCATGTGCTCCCCGAATCGGTTTGGAGAGCCTTCGGGGAACACGTGGGCATCTTGAAGGTCATCTTGGCCGTCTGGAGGCCATTCTGGCCCTTTCAGGCATTCTTGGAGGACGTCTTGGAGGGCTCTTGGGCCGTCTTGAAGGCTATCTTGAGCGTCTTGGAGACCTCTTGGGCCGTCTTGGGGGCCTCTTGGGGCCGTGTCGTGGGCCTCTTGGGCGATCTTTGTGGGCACTTGGGCCGTCTCGGGCCGTCGGAAGGCAGAGAAAAAGCAAATGCCACAATCCTTCAAACACCCATGGCAAATCCATGATTTTGGCCTTTTCGAGCCTTCCTGGAGGCTCTCTTGGAGGCCTCTTGGGCCGTCTTGGGCCATCTTAGGGGCATGCTCGGCCGTCTTGGTGGGCTCCTGGTCCGTCTGACGCCGTCGGAAGCCGTTTGGGGGCCTCTATGGGCCGACTTGGGGCTCTCTTGGAATGCTCCAGGGCCGTCTTGGAGGCCATTTTGGGCGTCTGAAAGGCCTCCTGTGCCGTCTTAGGGGGCCTCTTGGGGCTGTCTTGGGGGCCCTCTGGGCCGTTCTGGGGCCATCTTGGAGGGTTCTTGGGCGATCTTTCGGCGATCTTCGGGGGCTCTTGGGCCGTCTCGGGCCGTCGGAAGGCCGAAAAGAAGCAAATGTCAAAATCCGTCAAACACCTTAGGACAATCCATGTTTTTGATCTTTTCTTGCCTTCCTGGGGGCCTTCTTGGGGGCCAATTGGGCCGTCTTGGGCCAGCTTTGAGCCAACTTCGGCCATCTTGGTGTGTTCCTGGCACGTCTGACGCCGAAGGGAGCCGTCTTGGGGGCCTTTCTGGGCCGACTTGGGGCCCTCTTGGGGCGCTTCGGGGCAGTCTTGGAGGCCATCTTGGGCGTCTTGGAGGCCATCTTGGGCGTGTTGGAGGCCTCTTGGGCCGTCTTGGGGTCCTCTTGGGGCCGTCTTGGAGGCCACTTGGGCCGTCATGGGGCCCTCTTGGGGGCTTCTTGGGCGATCAAGGGGGCCTCTTGGGCCGTCGTGAGCCGTCGGAATGCTGAGAAGACGCAAATTCCAAACTCCTTCATGAGCCGTCGGAATGCTGAGAAGACGCAAATCCTCTTGGGCCGTCATGGGGCCCTCTTGGGGGCCTCTTGGGCCGTGTTGAGAAGTCGGAATGCCGAGAAGAAGCAAATTCTAAAATCCTTCGAAAACCTAAGGCAAATCAATGATATCGGCCTCTTCGGGCCCTCCTGGAGGACCTCTTGGAGGCCTCTTGGGCCGTCTGGGAGGCCTCTGGGGGGCCTCTTGGGCCGTCTTGGGCCGTCTTGGACTCTCTTGGGCCGTCTTGGAGTCCGTCTTGGACCATCTTGTGCGGACTTGGAGGCCATCTTGGACCATCTTGGAGGCCATCTTGGACCAACGTGGCCATCTTGGACGCCATCTTGAGCCATCTTGGAGGATTTTTTCGGGACGTTGGGGTCCTGGGCAATCCTTCCGGGACCCCGGCGGGACGGGCCGAAGCGCCAAGGGGAGTTCTTTTAGAAAAAGAAACAAAACCAAAACCGAAAGGGTCAAGCACGCCAGGCACCCCTGCGATGAATCGACAGGGGGCGGCGGATCGAAGACGCCTACGGCGAATCACTCCCGCCCCCTGCCTTTTTGGAAGCGCCTATGTGGCCGAACGGTGAGGCCAGACCTGCCAAGCTATCGGACCACGTCTTCCCCGACTCGGTTTGGAAAGCCTTCGGGGAACACGTGGGCGTGTCTTGGAGGCCATCTTGGGCGTGTTGGAGGCGTCTTGGGCCGTCTTGGGGCCCTTTGGGGGCCGTCTTGGAGGCCACTTGGGCCGTCATTGGGCCCTCTTGGCGGCCTCTTGGGCCGTCTTGAGAAGTCGGAATGCCGAGAAGAAGCAAATTCTAAAACCCTTCAAAAACCTAAGGCAAATCAATGATTTCGGCCTCTTCGGGCCCTCCTGGAGGACCTCTTGGAGGCCTCTTGGGCCGTCTGGGAGGCCTCTGGGGGGCCGTCTTGGGCCGTCTTGGACTCTCTTGGGCCGTCTTGGAGGTCGTCTTGGACCATCTTGGGCGGACTTGGAGGCCATCTTGGGCCATCTTCGCGATTTGTTGAAGATGTCCCGAGCGAAACGGCCCTTTCAGGGAGGATTTGTTGTGCACGTTGGGGTCCGGGAAGATTTTTTGAGGATGTAGCGAACGGCACGGTGGCGGGACGGGCCGAAGCCCCAGGGGGAGTTCTTTTGGAAAAAGAACCAAAACCAAAACCGATAGGATCCAGCACGCCAGGCACCCCTGCGATGAATCGACAGGGGGCGGCGGATCTAGTTACCGTTGGCCCATCCCGCCACCGTGCCTTGGACCGATTGTTCGGCGATTCGAGGCCCTCTTGGACCGTCTGAGAGGAGTCTTGGGGCCCCCTGGGCCCGTCACTGAAGTCATGCGGGAAGATGCCCCGGGGGCGCCAGGAGCCATGGGAGATTTGAGAGTTCAGGGCCCGGGTCACCTAGCAACATCTCAGGATTGAGAA